GGTAAGAGTGGGTATAACTTGCATTAGCACCATGCCACACCTGGGACCCCATCCTTCATCCACCTTCAATGCCCAGCCCCAGGCTGTCCAGAGAGGCACAGCCACATGCTCTGGCTCCAGCTGGCACCCTGTGCCCCAGCCATGTCCCTGGGTGGACAGCAGCACCCAGGGACAGCCCGTACCTGTCTCCAAGTTCTCAGCAACGCGGCTCTCAGCTTTCAGCTGCAGGTCCCTCATCCACTCAGCCTTCCTCTCCATCACTATGGTTTTGATGGCCTGTAGCTCCTGAAACCCCAAGCCAGACTTGGGTGAGCAGCGCATGAACACGGATACCCTGGCCCTGCTCCCCACTCTGTGCTGCACAACATGCACCTCCACCTGTAGCTGGGCACAAGGGTGAGCTGGAGAAAACAACCTGTCCCACAAAAAAGGCAGTCCATCTCCCAGCTCCACTAGGGAGGAAATACCTGTGGTATTTCCTTTCCCATGCTTGCAAAGCAGCAGACACAAGGCCAGCAGGAAAGGGGAAAAGAAGGCAGGACTTGCCCTGCCACAGAGCTCCCAGGCTGCATGGAGGGAGCCATGCTTCACACAAAGGCAAACCCACACCCTTTCAGCCCTGTGCTGGTCTGCGCTCACAGCGGGTTAACCTCTCCTGCCTGAGAGCAGGAACCCGAACCCGAACCCGAACCCGAACCCGAACCCGAACCCTGCCCCACCGCTTGCCGCAGACCTGAATCCCGAACTACACCCCCCACGCTGCCTCCTGGGCGCGCAGTCACGTGCGGATCTCCCGCGCAAAGCGCATTTCACACACCAAAGACCAATCAGGGCAGGGTACGGCGCCAAGCTCCGCCCCTTGACGGCAGGGCGGAAGGAGCCGTCCTGCTCATCTGTGACTCTGGGGTCGCAGATTCGAGCCCCGGCGGTGGGAGCAGGCACGAGTCGTAGAGCCCGGTCTGGGGGCTCCCCCCATCCTCCTTGTCCACCCACCGCGCTGGTGGTGCTGGGGACCGCAGTCAGCTCCCTGGTACGGTGCGAGCAGCAGGGCACCCCAACAGGGTGCAGCACCGGCAGCAGGGCACCCCAACAGGGTGCATCATCTGTACCAGGGCACCCCAAGAGGGTGCAGCATCTGTACCAGGGGACCCCAACGGGAAGCAGCATCTGCACCAGTGCACACCAACAGGATGTAGCACCTGCAGCAGGGCACCCCAGCAGGGTGCATTATCTGCAACAGGGTACCCCAACGGGAAGCAGCATCTGCACCAGTGCACACCAACAGGATGTAGCACCTGCAGCAGGGCACCCCAACAGGGTGCATTATCTGCAGCAGGGTACCCCAGCGGGAAGCAGCATCTGCACCAGTGCACACCAACAGGATGTAGCATCTGCAGCAGGGCACCCCAACAGGGTGCATTATCTGCAACAGGGTACCCCAACAGGAAGCAGCATCTGCACCAGTGCACACCAACAGGATGTAGCATCTGCAGCAGGGCACCCCAACAGGGTGCAGCATCTGCACCAGTGCACACCAACAGGATGTAGCATCTGCAGCAGGGCACCCCAACAGGATGCAGCATCTGCAACAGGGCACCCCAACAGGATGCAGCATCTGCAGAAGGGCACCCCAACAGGATGCATCATCTGTACCAGGGCACCCTAACAGGGTGCAGCACCTACAGCAGTGCACCCCAACAGGATGCAGCACCTACACCAGTGCACCCCAACAGGATGCAGCACCTACACCAGTGCACCCCAACAGGATGCAGCATCTGCAGCAGGGCACCCCAACAGGATGCAGCATCTGCAGCAGGGCACCCCAACAGGATGCAGCATCTGCACCAGGGCACCCCAACAGGGTGCAGCGTCTGCAGCAGGAAGAGAACATCCCTTTGCTTTCCCTGCGGACAACCCTGAATGCCCCTCACCATGGACACACCCCTCTTCAGGACTGGACATGGGTCAATGACTGACCTCGTGGCTACAATGAACCCCCCCCCCCGGGTTAGGGACACAGGGTGCTGCCAGGGTGAGGCACAGCACAAGTCCAGGCTCTGATTGATATTAAATTGTCTTTATTACACAGATACAGAGTTAAGAACAGACATAACCTGAATCATAAAGTTTACATCTTTCACAGGTCAAACATACAGTACACTTAAGAGAAAGCAGGAAACAGCAAAGGGGGGGGGGGGGGGGACAGCATGCCGAAGGAAAGTCCTACCACGTCATCTCTCTGGGCTGGCCCCCAAGCCCCACAAAACCCTCCCAAACCCCCCAAAACCCATGTGTCAGGGCTGGTTTCCAGCCCCCTGTCACCCCCCGTGCCCCGGTATCCCCATCCCCAGGGCTGGCAGGGTCACACAGGCAGGGCATGGGAGCAGGAAAGCCTTGAGTAAGGGGGGATGGTGGCACAGCACCTCCCTCCTGGGGCTATGGCGTTCAGTGGCATCAGAGGATCCCCTGGGAATGCCACCAAGGCACCCAGGTCCTGGGACCTGGTCCGCAGTGCCTGGGACCTAGTAACAACGTGGCATCTTGTTCCCAACCTCAAACCCACCAGGAGCCAGAGTGTCACCCCGAGGAGAAGAGAGGACCCCGGTGGGCCCTAGAGGAGAAGGGCATGGAGAAGCTGCAGGGGGTTATAAGGGGCTCTGGCAGTGATGGAGCAGAGCCCAGGCAGGTGTGGGACCCTGCTCCAGGGTGCCCAGGCTCACCAGGATGCGGCACTTTGGTTTCAGTGGGATGTCAGGTTGGGAACGTGAGGAAGGAGCTGGAGAGGACCTCACATGCTGGAGCCACCTCCTCCAGCACAGTGCCGCACCCAGCATCCTGGGGTCTGCCTCCCCGTGAGGACCAGGACCTCTATCCCCACACCACCAACACTGTCCCCAAGCTGTGATGGCGGGGAGGAAACCAAGAAGGGGATCTATGGGTGGCCATGCGTCCATGATCCAGCAGAGGACTATGCCCAGCCACCTCAACCCCCGTGTCCCCAAACTGCCCCACAGCCACCGGGGTGTCCCTATTCCCACTTATGCTCATCCCTCTACCATCTCCCATACCCCATAAAACCACCAAAGAACATGGCTTGGGCATGGCACAGGGCACACATCCCCTGGCCCCCACATGCCCCAATACCATTTTGGAGTAAAACCCCACAGAAGCTCCGGCCAGCACCTCCCCAGCGCCTCAGCCACATCACTGCGAGGGATGTAGCTAAAAACTAACGTTTTTGGGAAATATTACACTTTAAAGCTGTCTTTCTGGTTTGGACATCTGCTAGCGCCGCCTGTCACTGCCCATCCCGTCCCTCCCTCGGCTTTTGGTTTCAATGCAAGGTTCTGTCGGGTATTTTTGTTATTGAAAAAAAGCAACAAAAGAAGGAAATTATAAGTAAGGAAAAGAAATGGAAGCAAACCAGAAGGGGGTGGAAACGAGAGCATTCCCACTGGAATTCCCTATGGAAATGCTCTTGTCCACAGTTTCCCAGCGAGGCGGAGGTAGAGAGGCAGAGCCCCTGCGCGGGGCTGGGGACACATGGGGATATGCATGGACACGCATGGTGGGAAGGGCAGGGATGGGATGGACACCCCGGACAGCAGGCGGCCTCGCAGCAGGTGCATCTGCAGAACTCTTATATATTACCTCTTCTCAGGAAACGTAAGAAAAATAGACAATATTACATATGTCACACCATAAATAAAGTGAACAGTCACTCGAGGGGCAACCCGGGAGAGCGCCCAGCCTTGGGGTGCACAGAATCCCCTCTGGAGGCATACACCGAGAACTTGGGGTGCACGGAACCCCCCTGGGGGGATGCACTGAGACCTTGGTGTGCACAGAAACCCCATGGGGTATGCACCAAGGTCTCAGGGTGCACAGAAACCACCCTAGGGAGCGCACTGAAACCTTGGGGTGCACAGAAACCCACAGCAGGGCTCAGTGCTGGTTGCACAGGTCCAGGAGCATCACCTCGGTGGTGCCCCATGCACCAAGCTCTATGGCAGTGGCACATCACGGGCTCCTGGGTGACTGATAACACAACAGACCCGGCCCCAAGCCCTTCCCTCGTCCTCCTCCCCTACAGAAAACACACAGGATGGTGTTGCAAATGCGGAACAACTACATCTCCTATGGAGCACACGACTGCTGCTCGCCTCCATCCAGCCTCACTCCCCCCACACCACGGCCTCCAGAGCGTTCTCATCATCCTTCGTTTGGCAAATGTCTCTTATTATTATCGCTATCGTCATTATTTATCGTTATTATCAGCATCTTTTTGGACCTCTGCAAAACACTATTTACATTCACATTAGCACACAGCACTCCTGCCCTGTGCGGGGCTTCCCTCCTCTCGGAGCCGGGCGGCTTTCCCTATTGCACTCCCGTCCTCTGCGCTTTGTACAACGGTGCAAGAAGCACACGACAACCGGCATCGTCCTTGGCTGCCTCCTCGGCCGGGAAGGAGGTGGTGCTCGCTTTGCTTTCCTTTCCTTTCCTTTCCTTCTTCCTCTTCCAAATCCATGTGAAACAAATCCAATGCGGGGTTGTCAGGGCTGGAAGAAGGGGGGGGGGGGGGGGTTGGCTGCAGGTGACCCCAGCGGTTTTGGGAAGGGAGAAAACCAAAATCTGTCGTTTAATCTCTGTTTTTAACTCTTTTTCCATGGCGGCGGCGGGCAGAGGTAGAGATGTGCCAGCTCCGGCTGCGGTTCTCAGCCACCGTCTCCTCCTCCTGCAGCTCGGGGACTTGGTTTGCTTGGAAAACACCTTCTTTTTTTTGCTTTATTGGAATGGAAACCCAGGGGCGCATCCATCCGGCCTTGCGGGGAGGGAAGGGAGCGACGACAGAACGGAACGAACTTTGGCAGTGGAGAGACGTTTGGATCTTCCTTGGTTTTGGATTTCCTTTGGAGCAGAGGTGAGTCTGGTCTGTTCTTGGCTAGCTAGCAAGGTAGTTACAGGTGAGCGTCCGTCGCGCGGCTTGACTTGGCGTCGTCTGGTTTTTGGATTTTTCTCTTTTTTTTTTTCTTTTTTTTTTTTTTTAATTCCTTTTTTACAATTTCTTACTTAAAGCCAAAGAGTTCGATGTTTTCTTTTTTATTTCTTTATTTTTTTTACAAAAAAAAAAAAAAAAAAGGGAAAAAAATTAAGAGAGAGATGAAGAAAAGAAGTTTCTTTCCTTCTGCGAGCGAGCCCCTTGGCAGTGCCAGTATGGGCCAGAACCAAGCTGGCCTCTCCCCATGTCACTCCATGGCGAGGCTGCAGCCACATCCCTCATCCAGAAAGCAAAAACTAGGACAAAAAAAACAACCCCCTCCCCAAAAAAATACCCGAACCACAATCCCCCAACTGATAGAAAACCAACCAAGACAAAAAAAAAGAAGCCAAAACAAAGACTGAAGAGAGAACAGAGAAGACCGGTATTTGCCTTAACTCCACTTAAAGCCCAGTTTGAGGATCCGTGAGGATTATTTGTGAAGAGCTAGAGAGGTCGTTTCGGAGGTCACACGAGTCAGGTAGCTGAGGAGGTTGCATCGAGTGCAGTCCGTGTCTCTTGGAGAGCGGTGGCAGCAGCGGTGGTCCCAGCCGGGCTCAGCGGGATGCGCTCTCCACCGGAGCCGGGGTGGCCGGTGTGCCAGCGCGGGACGCGGACACCGATCCCGTCTCACTGGGGCTGCTGGCGATGGTGGCCACTCCATCGGGCTGCCCCGGGCCCGGTGGCAGCCCCACACCGGCGCTGGGGGCAGCGGGGGCCGGCAGCCCCTGCAGAGTCTGCCCGCAGACGTGGTGGTGCTTCTCCCAATCCTTGTGCTGGCAGAAGGAGCCGCAGTAGCGGGCGGTGTTGCAGCCGCTGCAGGTCTCGCTTGCTTTGCGCCCGCAGTTCCAGCAGCTCTGCGGGGATGCAGTTAAACCTCAGACCTGGATTGTGCACCCACATCCCAGACCGTGTACCCCATTGTGGATCATGTATCCACATCCCAGACTACGCATCCCCATCTGCGATCATGTATCTGCATCCCAAACAATGCACATCATCGTGGCCTGTGCATCCCTATCCTGGACTACACACCCCATTGTGGACCATGCACCCACATCCCAGACCACACATGCTCATCCCGGATCATATATATCATCCTGGACTATGCATCTACATCCCAGATCATACACGTCATCCTGGACCGTGCACCTCCACCCTGGACCATGCATATCATCCTAGCCTGTGCATCCCCATGCTGGACCATGCATCCCCATCCTAGACCATGCACATCATCCTGGACTACACATCCCCATCCTCAACTGTATACATCATCCTGGGCCATGCATCTGCATCCCAGCTGATGTATATCATCCTGTCCTATGCATCCCCATCCTAGACCGTGCATCTACATCATCCTGGACCATGCATCCTCAGCCTGGACCACACATCCCACCACGTGGTGTTGCTGAAGCCCCTCAGTACCCACGCTTGCGTGCAGAGATGCTGCAAAACCTGACTGCAGAAGGACCACATCCCATATGCCCATGCTGCCACCAACCCTGTCCCCCCGGCTCGCCCCTTACAGCCCCCACCTCGCTGGAGTCCTCCTGCTGATTGATGACGGTGAGGGCATCCTCGGAAGCCTGGCGCTTGGCCTCGGCCAGGGCTCGCTCCATCTTGGCTCGCTCCGTTGTGATCAGCTCGTGGGCTTTCCGCTCGGCATCCGACACGGCCTTCTGCAGCTCCGACATGGCCTGGCGCTTCACCTCGTTCACGGCTTCTTCTGGAAGGAAGGCAGCTGAGCATGGCACGGGGTGTGTGGCCACCCCAGCCCCTGCTCTGCGGTCCTCCTCTGCAGCAGTGCCATGGGGGGGGCTGCAAGCATCTGCTCCCCACCACAAACCCACCTCAAACCCCTCCAGTACCACAGGCACCCAACTGCAGCATGGGGAGGGGATGGGGCAGAGACCCCGCTGGCTTGGCACACTGATGGATGCTGCTGCCTGCCCTGCACTCACCAGCCTTCCTCCAGATCTCCTCCGGCATGTACCCAGAGAGGGGCCGAGGTGTGAACTCCCGGTGAGCATCTGCGAAAGAGAAGAGGCGATGCCATGAGGAGATGCTCTCCTCTGCAAACCCACCCTCCAGCAGCGCCGGACCCCCAAAGGAACAGCGCTGGCACCCCAGAGAGGAGCACAATCCCCCTGAACGCACCCCATGGCCCCAGGGGTCAATACCTAACTGGGGTGCCTCGGAGGCGGAGGAGCTGTTGTGGGGCCGGGCGGAAGGGGGGCTGCCCTTCTTCATGTCCTCGGCATCGCTGTAGCGCCGGATCCAGTGGTTGAGCTCTTCGCGGTCGGCCTCCTGGCACCGCCGCAGCACCGTCAGCGACCGGCGCGTCTTCTCCACCATGTCCATGATGCAGTTCAGCAGCTGGGGGGGAAAGAAACGTCAAGGTGTGGGGGGGTTTCTGCTGCATGCAGCTGGGGGGGGCTGCAGTGCATAGCACAGGAGTGGGGTATTCAGGCTATACCAGGCTGTGCCAGGGCTGGGTACCACTCTGACTGCGGAGAGCAGAGGATGCACAGGAGCAAAGCCCAAGGGGGAATGTGGTGGGGATGGAGGGCAAAGCAGGGGGAGGCAAAGCACACACACGTGGGATGATGTAGGATACGGGGAGGTGCATTACATACATTGTTGAGGTGTTTCCACTCCTCTGCCCATTCCCGGTCAGTTAGCCGGTGGTCGATCACCTCCTCCTGCCGCGCTCCATGCACTGCTGCAAGGCAGACAAGGTCAGACCCCGCAGCACCCATCTGTGCCTGGGGACCATGGGGGTCTCCAGCCCTTTGCCTGCTCCCTCAAGCCCTGGGGGATGCGAGCACTCACCGGCGGGCCGCTGGCGCTCACGGGGGTCAGGGTGCCGGTAGACATCACGGTAGTGATGCGCCATGGCCATGTCCTCCAGGCGGTAGTGCTGGGGCAGCGGGGGAGCGGCCGGGGGGTGCCCCATTCCATTGGGAGGGTGGCTCAGCCCGTTGCTGGGGCTGTAGCGCTGCGCCGGGCTCATGGTGCACGGCCGCTTGCTGAGGTGCTCGGGGTGCAGAGGGTCTCGGTCCAAACCGTTCTCTTTGGTCCTGGGTGGAAAGGAGGAGGTTGGTGCCTGCCGAGCACCGGTGTCCCTGGATAAACACCCGAAGCATCCCCCCGGCTTGTACCTGTCTGGAGTCCTCCTCTTGCCGCTCTCGCCCACCTCCAGGAGCAGCTCGGAGGAGTCAATGGGAGAGGAGGCATTGGCATCCAGCAGCAGCTGCTCGTGCTGCGCCAGGTACTGGGCCGGGGTCTGCTTGGCCATGCGGGCGCAGTGCAGCAGCTCCCGCTGCAGTAGTGGCAGGTTGGCCTGCGAGGGGATGGAGAGTCTTGTCCATGGCCCCATAAATCCCCCCACAGCCCAGCACCCTGCTGCTCAGAGCCCCACACTGCAGTGAATGGGGTCCTGAGCACCTTCCCCAGTTGGGACCCCCACTTGCTGCAGTGTGCCCGGACCAGCTGGGCTGCTGGAGGGGGACGTATGTGGCACCCCACAGGGTTCAGCCATGTGCTGGAATATGGGCACAGCATCGACTGAACCCTCCTGCATCGTGGCAGGGCTGCAGAGCATCATCTCCTACTCTATCCCCACAGCTTTCACCCTGGGGACCTGAGCACCCAGGCTGGGGAGCACCCGGCCCAGCTGGCACCTATGAGACATGAGGACCAGCTATGAACTCCGCATCCACCATGTCCCCCCCCAGCACTGTAACCCTGGGAGCACGCAGAGCAGCAGGAATCCAGCAGCAGGGACCCTTTCTGCCTGGGTGCTCTGGCTGCCAGCTCCGGGCTTCTCTTAGGCAGCGGATCCAGAGCCAAACCCCATCTGTGAGATCTGTTAGCGCCCGAGCCGGAGATGTCCACTGCGGGAAGACCCTCCCCTTCCCTGGCCGGGGCGGGGGGGGAACAGCCCCACACAGAACACAGCCAGCCCCAGTCTGGGAAGCACGCCGAGCCCGGCTGGTTGCAGTTAGGATAATGGGAAACATCTGGAGCCTGCGGTGGGAACAGCTGGGAACAGGGTGCCAGGGCGGCTGCTGCGCGCTTGGCACTGGGACAGCGGGAATGGATCCCAGCCTGCCCCGGGCTATGGGGCCACCAGTGCCCACAGGGACCCTGTGAGCCAGGGATGCACCATTCCCTGCTCCCATAGACCCCTGCTCCCAGGCAGGAGGACAAGGGGGGGGCTTTGCTGCCCCCCTGGCCACTTTTTGGCTCTGCCTTCCCTTGGCAGGAGCAAACTGCTCAGGCAGCGCTGCAGGCAGATTCCTGCGGGATTCATGGACCCCTGCTATAGGGGGTGGGGATGCAGAGGTGGAAAAGGGGCTTTTTGTGCACTTTGTCTTATACTGATGGACAGGACAGTGGGGTTGAACATCTGCCAGCAGCGCCGGTGCTGCCGGGCTGCAGGAGCAAGGTGACAGCGCAGGGTCAGCACGGAATTAAAAAGCAAATACCAAAAAAAGGGGGATTTTTAATGAAATGCAAGTGGTCACCAGCTGGGCTGAGCCCCTTGCTTTATTGCAAACAGCCCCGGCCTCGTGTGACTCCACACGTGCAGAGAGAGGGGTGTACAGGGGATGCCACACGTGTGCCCAGGGGGACAGGGGCACCCCTGGCCCCAAAGCCACCCAGTGAATCCCCTTTGCTGGTGATGCCAACCCCGGCATTCCCGCGTCACCCAGACTTAGTCACCCACCTTGAGGAAGGGGATGACGAAGGGTCTCAGCGGGAAGTTGGTGGCCTCCTGGAGCTTGGCATGAAACTCCTCGATGGTGAGTGTGGAATTCTGCAGGGAGAGCCCCCACGGGGATGCTGTGCTATTTCTCCCTATTTGTGCTCATCTGCCATGCTTCAAGGGAAAACCACCCTTGAAGGAAAACCATTCTCATGGCTTTCAGTGCCAGCAGCTGGGACCCAGCCCTGCCCTCTGCACTGTGCAGATCCCAGGAGATGCTTTGCAGACAAACCCCATTTTTCCATGATTTGGGTCAATCTAGGACCCTCTTTTCCCTTTAGCAGCATCCCCATCCCTAAAGGTGGCTGCAGGATGCCTGCATGGGGCATCCCTCCAGTGCCGGCCCCGTGCGCAGGGGACGTACCACGAGCCCCAGGACGAGGGTGCGCACCCGCTCCCCGATCTCGGGGGAGATGTCGTTGCCGAACTGCTGCAGCGTGGTGAGGAAACGCTTGAGCTTGGAGAGCTGCCGGGCACCGCAGGCTGGAGGGAGCTGGTGCGTGGACAGGGAGGCGGTGGAGGAGGTGGCCGGCCCGTTGCTGAACCCATTTGGGGTGGACGGGGCCCCGTTCATGGCAGTTGGTGAGTGGCTGCTCCCGTTCATCACTGTGGGAGAGAAGGGATGGGAGGTCAGAGAGGATGGCTGTGCCCTGGCATGGGGATAAGGCTGGCATGGGGGGACTGGAGCATCCTGCTGGGTACCATGGGGGTGGCACACCCCTGGAGGCTCCGGGATGCTGCTGCATCCTTGAGGACTCATCCTGGACTGGTTCCTGGTGCTGTGAGGAGCTATAGAAAGGGATATATGCTGTAAGGATGCAGTGCATGCCCTAGCGCGGCGTGGGACTCATCCTACTCCTCAATTCTCAAGGCAGCCAAGAGAAAGGGTGCTCAGCACCCCTCAGGAAGAAGCCACAAGCCATTTCCACAGATCCCAGCCTGTCTTGCAGCACGCTGGCACCTCCATCCCCACTGTCCCAGCCGGGAGGACAGGAGCTGCCATCCCGTGCCAGGGGACGTCCCATTCCATGGCACGCTGCCCCACGCCAAGACACCCAGTGGGGCCACCTGGGGGTGCCCAGCGGCAGCGTGCCCGGCCCCTTTGCTCTGTGCCAGCCCTCCATGCACACCCTTCCGCAGCCAGCACCGGCGCTGGCACGCATCACCCCTCGTCCCGGCCGCGCGCGGCACCCGGGCATGCACCCCGCGGCTCCCGGGATCGCACTCACCTCGCGGTGCCGCGGTGCCCTGCCTGCCCTGGGGGGCTCCCGCGCGCTCTACAGCTCGGGCAGCGTCTGCCGCCCGCTAAAGAGGTGCCGAAAATAACCCCTTGGCCACAACTGCTTCTGTTCCCACGACAGGTGCGTTACTAAGATAGACCCTGCACATGTCCGGGGTTCGCATCCCTGCGCCCTGCCAGGGGCTGCCGGGGGGAGCGCACGCTGCACAAGCCCCCCTGCAGCTCCCCGTGGGGGCCGCGGCTGCGGCTCGGGTCTCTCATGAGAGCGGATGCTTCATTTTACTTACAAAGACAGACCATCGACCATTTCAAGCAACCATGAAAACGGCCGCGAGGCAGAAACGTCGGAGGGCCAGCGTCTCGATCTGCAAGCAAAATAAAACACGCTATGATGAGAGAGCAGAGGGGGCAGCTCTCGGATGGGGTCCCCGCAGGGAATACTCCTCACTAGTGGGTGAATGCATGCCATGGGATGGAGCCGGGTCCCTGCATCCCACCGCAGCCAGAGGGATGCTCGGCTGCCTGATGTCCCCGCACTTCGGGGCCAGCCCTGCACAGCCCCAGCACAGGGGCTTTTCCTTGAGACCAAGAACCAAAGCACCACTGAGCTCCGTGATGACCTACAGCGACAAGGCCACCGGCATCTCTCTCCTTGCATCCTATGCCGAGCCAACCCCAGGATGCCACACTGGCCCCTGGGCTCGGAGTAAACAGCAAAACCCCTCAGAGGACAAGCTGATTACTAACTAGAGAGCATCAGGTTGGGATGGCAGCGGGGTTATCACGGGGAGCACTGGGGTACGGCACTCTGGGGGTTGCTCTAAAGGTGTTTTCTCCCTGCTGGGGCTTTAAGCATGAAGCAGCTACAGCCTGATCTAGTGGGAGGGAATTGGAACCAGACGAGCTTTAAGGTCCTGTCCAACCCAAACCATTCCATGACCCTATGAGCAAAACCCTTGTGTGCGCATGCCCAGAACGAATCCCAGAAGAGTTGGAGCAACTGCTCACCAACGCCACCACCACTCCTACCAGGGGACCAGCCTTGGTCCCTGCCTGCCTGGACCCTGCCCTGTGTGTGCCTTGTGGGGCCATGTGCCAGGACAGTGTCACCAGCACGGAGACCTTTCCTGATGCAAACCCTGTGGGCATCCAGTGAGCCCACTTGCCACGGGTACAGCCAGCTTGTGGGGCTCCCCCAGTTCAATGATGCTACAGAGACTGAGGACTCAGACTTTGAGTCCCCACTGAGGCCCTTGATGTCACCACGCCATTCCTGCCACTGCAGCTGGCCGTGACAGTGCCCTGCCATTGCTGGGTGCCACATGCGGACAGGACTCACGACAGGACCAGCTCCAGCCCACAGCATCCTCAATCCATCTCTCTGCAGCAGAGAGCACCCAAGGCCACGCAATGCTCTGTGACTGGCAGGAGACCAGGATGTACCCCATCCTCAAGCACCTCGCAGGTGATGGGCCATTGTGCTCCCCACAGACACATGCATGAGCGTGGATGTGCAGCCCAAACGCAGTGCAAGGACGGGTCACACCACCCCACAGCATAGCCAGCGCCGTGCAGGTCTGAGGATGCTGCTGGCCCTGGGTGCAGCGTGTGACCTGGAGGCGAAGGGAGGCAAAACCTCCCTGCAGGGCATCACGTCCCCATCCCCGTCCCTGGTACTCACTGGTGTTTGGTGTGAAGGACGGGTGCCGCGTGGCTCCCTGCGTGACAGCTGGCGGCGGCGGAGGCATGCTGGGCGGCGTGGACCTGGACTGCGTCTTCACATCAGCCGGTGAGTCGGGCATGGTGGCGGCCCGCGTCTCCGCGTTATCTGCAGGGACAGGACACAGGGGGTGAGCGGGTGTCCGCCCCCTGGGTTGGGGGCAGAAGGGACCCACGGGGACCCCAGGCTGGCTTGGGGGTGTCTGGTAAACAGTGCAGGATGGCAGCAATCCTTGCCGTGGGCACAGCTCAGGCAAGGTGTGCTGTGTGCCTGCGGGCTGGTGGGGATGGTGATGGACCTCTGGTGCATCCACACAGCGGTGGGGATGGTGGCCACTGTGGTGGGGACGGGGCAGGACGTGGCTCTGCCACTGCAGCACCGGCTCTGCCCCACACACAGGGCACACAAACAGTGTGTGTGTCTGCAAAGCCATCACTGTCAAAGCCATCACTGTCACATCCCGGCATGGTACCACCAGTGATTACCTGCCCACGCCTGAGGAATCCTCACCAACCCCTTGCCATCCCGGGCAGCTGTAATCCCAGGCAGGGCTTATGCACAGACAGTAAACCATGGGCTCCCTATGGGAATGTGCCAGCACCGTGCCCTCCGGATGGCCGGCAATGGCACAAACCCAGTGCAGGGTCTCAGCCCAGGGTGATGGTGATGGGATGGTCACAGGTGTGAGCACTTGTGGCACAGTGATCTGTGTGCCCGAACCAGTGGCACTGCTGCCACCAGCCCCAGCCAAAGAAGGAAGAGGCCACCACGGCTGCCCCCCGGGTTGCCCCGGCACGTTCCCCACCAGGCGAGGCTGATAAACACTAATCTAATATTCAGGCTTAATCCACGGCAACTGTTGTGAGATTAATTGAACCCTGTAAGAGCACATTGTCCTGGCTAAATAAAACCGGGGCCTCATCCCAGGCAAGATGCTATCAGGGCTTGTGCTGCAGCCAATGCCGCACACAGAGGAGTGGGAGATGGGAGAGCTGGGAGCAAGGGCCAAACTCTTGGGTGGTCGGTGTTGTGGTCCTACAGTATCCTCCCAGTATGGGATCATCCCTCCCTGCCCACAGCACACCGGAATCCTGCAGATGCTTGGGTGTTCATGACCCCGTTTCCCTTTCCTTGCTCTCTTCTCCCACTCCAGCCACAGGAGAAACCCCAAGACCAAGCCCCATCCCTCCCTAACAGTTTCTTTACGAGGCCTGCCAAAAGAAATGGTACATTTTGAAAAACACCTTTTATTTCCCTTTTCATGGAAATGCCCATCTCCAAGCAAGGCTCTTCCAAGCCTTCTGGTTTCGGAAGCAGGATCCAGCCCTGAGAACAGAGGATGAGCCATGGTGCAGGGAGGCATTGCAAGATGCTCTCAGCATCTATGAGGCTGCAGCCACTGCTGTGCTCAGCCTGAGGCTCTGGCTCTCCACACAACAGCCATGGGGCATGCGGACAAGCAGCAGCAGCTTGGGGACAGCATGGCAGCTTGCCCAGGTGAGGGCACCTGAAGCAGCTCCAAGCACATGTTTGACTCAGCTGCTGCTTGCAGGGAGGAGGAGGAGGGTCCAGGCTGCAAGATGCTCACCCCTGCCTGTATCCCCATCTCTGCCTTCATCCCTGTCTGCATCCCTGTTCCCATCTGCTTCCCTGGCATTGTCCCTGTCTGCATCCCTGTTCCCATCTGCATCCTTAGCAGCATCCCTGCCTGCATCTCCATTCTTGTCCCCCTTGCTGTCCTGATGCTGTACGCATGCCCACACTGAGAGGAAAACACGGATACACTCATTTTGGCACGCACATGGCTTTTCCACAGCTTCCCTTCAGGACGAAAGTTTCCACAAAGCCTGGCTGTGTTTTTTCTTGTATTTTCCTTAATTTTTCCTCTGAATCCTAAATTTTCCCTGAGGTGTTCGCAGTCCAGACACCACCACGAAGGCACGGGGTGAGGAATGCCCCCAAATCTGATGGATTTTCCCAATGCCCAAAGCAAACAGAACCTGGGATACCCACAGGATCTGGCCACCAACCCATACCCCTTGCAGGATGGGGCGAGCTCTGTGGTAGGTGAGGGGGGGGTTTGGGGGCATGGTGCCACCTCCCAGCAGCACCTCCAAACAATAATTCCCCAACACAACTCAAACCTCACTGGAATTTCTTTTTCCTTCTCCTCTCCTTCCCCCCCCCCATCTTTTTTCTTCTCTTTCTTTGGGGTAATTTGTCCCAGCCGCTCGGGGCTGTGTCTGTTTTCCTCCATCTGGTTTCCATTAAGCCTGTGCAGCCCAGATGAATAAGTAATAATATAAGACTAAAAGGATTAGTATTCTCTCCTTGGCTGGTGGGAGCGGTGTCCCCCACCCTGCCTCCCGGGGCCAGCGGATGCTGGACTCCGCACACCCCCGTGTGACCCCGAGCCCCCCATTTGTCACCCCGGAGGGTTTAACCCCCCGCACACTGGGCTGGGCATGGTCACCGCTGTGGTGGCCAATGGAGTCTTGGCTTGCCCATACTGCCCCAGCAGGGATGGAGGGCTCAGGGTGTGCAACCCCACTGGGCACAGGCAACCCCTGAATCACAGACTCATGGAGTAGTTTGTGTTGAAGGGACCTTAAAGTTCATCCAGTTCCAATCCCATGCCATGGGCAGGGACCCCTTCCACTGGAGCAGCTTGCTCCAAGCCCCTGTGTCCAACCTGGCCTTGAGCACTGCCAGGGATGGGGCAGCCACAGCTTCTCTGGGCACCCTGTGCCAGCGCCTCAGCACCCTCACAGGGAAGAGCTTCCTTAGATCCAACCTAAATCTCCCCTGTTACAGTTTGAACCCATCACCCCTTGTCCTGTCACTCCAGTCTCTGATGAAGAGTCCGTTTCCACCATCTCTGTAGGCCCCTCCAGGTACTGGAAGGCTGTTATAAGGGTGTCTGCTTATCCGCGTGCTCCTCAGTGCTGGATGCTGAAGAGCACCAACACATGGCACTGTGCAGTTATGCACACCAGCAGGCACCAATGCACAGCATCACACAGCTGCAGGCTGTGCAACAGACCAGGATACCAACACAGGACCAGGCTCCCTGTCCTCCCCAGGCAGCCTTGGGCAGGGGACAGGGATGTGCCAGCCCTAGGAGGAGGCTGATGACTGCGGAGCACCCGGGCTGGCTGCTCCCCTCTCCACCTCACAGTGATGGGGATGGAAAGGGCAAGGAACTGCCCTGACTGTGGCCATTGGAAAGCTCTGGCTTCGTGCAGCCCTCCCATGCCAGGCCAGGTGAAGCTTCCCGGGTGAGGAGAGGGTTAAAAGGGAATTAAAAGACCAGCATCCTTCATGCTCTCCAAATGGCCACAAATGAAATCCAGATGCTGGAGGCGACGTCTCCTGAAGCCAGGCTGCCTCTGAAACAAAGGCAGGCAAGCATTCCTGCTCCTCAGCTGCTGCTGCCACGGGGGCCAAGAACAACTCCTTGATAAGATGGTCAGGGACCCAGCTATCCCAGCTGGAGCGTGTTAGGGAAGCGTGCAGTGCTGGCGGACAGGCAGCAGCACCGGCCACGTGCATGAGCCCAGCAGAGTTGGGGACACTGTCATCTCCCTCCTCATCCTGATCCGCTCCCCAGGGTTGCAGTGATGATGGGGGTAGGTGACAGCAGGATCATCCCCATTTACTTGCAGAGGGATTGCGAGCAGACCAGTGCTGTGGGATGCAGGAGGGATGTTCCCACTCTGGTAGCTACCAGAGAACCATCACCAGGGTGTCCCCTATGCATATTTGGGGGAGTCAGGCTAGCAGGGGAAAGCCTCAGCACTTGTCAGCATAAATGCATCTTTTGCAAAGGAAACCCAATTAATTAAACCCTCTGCACAAGATGTAAATGAACTTGGTTTTGGCCAGCTCTAGGCACAGGGAGCTCTTGTTGCTGTGAGGGTGATGGGGCATGGACATGCCCAGCGGTGCCAGGGCCATGCTGGCAGCAGGGCCACACCGTGCTCAGGTACCTCCGCACCCAGCCCTGCCAGGCCGCTGCCTGCACTCCTGCCTGCGGGCGGTGATGCTCACAGGGATGCCCATGCCTCAGGTGGCACAGCTCTTGCAGTGCCCTGCTCCTGCAGCCAGGGGATGGTGACAGCCTGGCCCAGTGCGGGTGACAGTGCCAAGCCAACCACCCCACAAGTCTGGGCATTGTCCCTCTGGTTTAGTCTGGCTGCTCAGCTGAGCAGGACCTGCCACCCCTGCACCACCACAGCAGCCTTCTGCAGTAGGTGGTGAGCCAGCCTTTGTTTCTGCCATCCTCACCATGCTCATGGGCATCCTGGGATGTGTCCCACGTCACTGGCCCAGGCTGGGATGCTCCCCACCCACAGTACTGAGAGTAAAGTGGGTTTCATCATAGAATCATATAATCATGGAATACCAGGGTTCAAGGGACCTCAAGTACCATCTAGTCCAACCATTCATCCTGATTTGGTTTGCTTTCCCTGCAGCCCCACTGGGACAGCATCCCAGGTACGTCCAGAACTGCTGGGGGACGCACCATGGGCAATGCTCCTCACTCAACTCCAGGCCAGCAACGGCCAGCAGGGATCCTGCTGCCTGGTCCCCTTCCATCTCCCCCATTGTGGCAGTGACAGCACAGCTCCATGTGGGACACTGACACAGGACCAGGCTCCCTGATGTGCCTGGAGCCCAACAAACCCCATTTCTCAAGCCACAACAAGCCAACCAAAGACCCAAACCTGCTGCCTTGTTCGGTGCTGGCAGTGCCAGCCAGCTGTCATCCCGTGCTGGCATGGCCAGGGTGGATAGGAATGGCTTTGATGTGCCTCGAAACAACAACAACAACAACAACAAAAGCCAAAAAGCCCTCTCTGTTTTACAAGCCTTCATTTGCTATTGTTTATGTAAACAGGTAAATTGTTTCGTATCTCAATTAAAAACATCTGCCACATAAATGAATACCAATTAACTCATCCTGTTTTTAATTACTCTGTTAATTACACACAGGCAGCAAAAAGGATGGCAGGGGAATAGGGAGAGCATGCTTACAACCCCCCCTTCCCACCTTGCTCTTGGCAAGGATCCGAAATGTGCCCAGATAATGATGGATTAAGGTGGGTGGTGGATACCGTGGCTTGTGGCCAGCTCTGGCGTGGCAGCTTCTTCCTAGCTGGGCCGGGTGCTGCCGGGGCGCCTTTCAGGGGTATTTCCCAGCACCCTCCCAATAGATGCCCTGTTTCGGAAACCCCGGGTCCCATGGGGCACACCAACACCACCTGCATCATCACCCGTGCTGGCAGCAACTGCCACACAACCTGGCTGGTTTTCCCAGCGTCAGACCCGTGTCTGCTCTCAGAACATGTCCCAGGGGAGAGAAACCTCGGGATGCTGCATGGGGAGGGTGGGAGGATGAAGGAGGATCCACACCAGCAGCATCCTCATGGACCAAGCGCATCCTTGAGATGCCCCTGGGAGGGGCCGAGGGTCAGCAGCTCTGCATGGGGACAGCAGTATGGAGTGGATGACACCCTCGAGCCGCAATCGCCGAGGGACCCCGGGCGCCGCCAGCCCCTCGCCCCCCCCCCAGCTGTGGGAAGCTTTCCAAGCGAGCAGATGGGGCAGGGAAGCGGCGGCAGCGAGGGGGAGAGCAGAAAAGGCTATTTTCTCACGCTACATATTTTACAAGTTGAACATTTTGTGCATTTCAGCCTTGCCTGTAAAAGCATCTCGGGCTCAGCACCGGGACTTGACGTCGGAGCCTGTGAGTCAACAGCGGCCGGCGGCAGTGTGGCCTGCCAGCACACAGAGGGGATGGGAAGTGAGGTCCCCCCATGCAAAGGGTCAGGGTTGGTGGCTTCCCCTAACCCACTGGTGCTGCGGGAGCTGCAGGATGGCCAAAGCCCCCCACCAAGCCCCAAGCTGGAGCACAGCATCTGCTGCAAATGCTGCCTGCGATGTCGTGCCCCAGTACCACCGTCTGAGCTGCCCCACCAGCAGCTCCCAGTGCTGCCTGCACACCCTCCCTGCTCCCCAGCAGCCTCATGCTCCTGGATATTAAATAAACACCATGAATAAACAGTGCCCCACAGCCAGCCTGGCACAACTGCAGGCACGTAAGCAGCTCAGGGGTGAGGCTGATCCCACCAGCAACTCCATGAGGAGTTGCCCTCTGCCTGGGAAACATCCATGTCTCACTGCAAACCTAGTGCAAGGGCTATGGATCCATCAATCCACAGCATGGCTGTGCTGGAACAGCAACTGGTCCAGCAACACACTGCCAAAGGGGCACCCCATACCAGACCCATGTCCCTTTGGGTGCTCTTTGAAGGCAGTGATAGGGGCTGAAATGCCCCAAATGGCAAGTTCTGCAGCCACCCCACCACATGCATAGGGATGCTTGTGCCCAAAGGCGGTCCTAAGGGCTGGAGTGGGGACAAGTGGCACACGCAGCCGGGGGACTGGAGGCAGAGAGTGGCTGGGGCAGGGAAAACATCCTCCTGCACATGCCAGTGCCTGCAGGGAGCTCCCTGCGATGTCCCTGTAGTGTGGGAATGCCGAGGGACCCCCGGCTGGATCCTGCCCTGCAGCCGCGAGGTTGGTAACAGCTCCGAGGGGTGCCAAATCCATCCGCGCATCCCCACAGGCTCCGGGCTGCTGCGTTGCTGACTCTTTGTCTGTTTGTTAACCACGGGCTCCATTTCAAGGCGATTTTTACCCATGTGAGATTGAATCAAACATCGCAGGGGAAAAAAAAAAAAATAAAATATCAATGAGAATTTTGTAAAATAAACAGGAAATCCCTTGGATGTTTTCTGGAAACATTGGTCAGCATCTTCCGAAGGGAAGCTGTGTGCTCGTCAAGGTGGGGTTGCCCCAGTGGAGCCTGAGCACGCTGCGAGGGAATGCACAAAACAAGCTTCAGGATGTCTAAAAATAAACCCCAAACTGGGCAATGGCACCAACGCCAGCAGAGCCTGGGCAGGGGGGTGTCCTCTGTGCCACCAGCATGGTATCACCCCCATGCCGGCCATCAGGAAGCTTCCAGCTTGGGGACCCCCTTTGACCTCAGACTGGGGGGGCAGTATAACGCTGCCCATGGTCCAGCTTAGAAAGGGCTACAGCATCCGACCTGCATCCCCTCGACCCCAGCGGCAGCACTGAAGTCCAGCACCCATGGGCTGTCCCTGCTCCCTCGCAGTGCTCAGGAAGCCCCGTTTGGCAGGATCAGGCCCCGATTTGCCCAAATCCATGTCCATACCGCGACTGTGCTGATCTGCCGGGGGCAGAAGCAGTGTGGGTGTTGGTGGCAGGGCTGCTGTGTGTCCCCGGGGGACACTGCCACCACTTTGGCTTCCCTCGGGCAGCCCTGCGATCCCTGCCTGGCTCACCATCAACCCCCTGACCCCTGCCAAGAGAGATAATAACAGGCGTTTAGGGGATGCCTCTCCTCCCCGGCGGTCCCATGGCACCCCACAGCACCCCACATCCCTCCCCTGGGCAGGCGCAGGGCAGGGGATGCTGATCTGCCTCCAGACTGCGCCGGGATTTAAGCCGGCTGCCGGCAGCGAGCGGAGCCGAGAGCCCGTTTCCATTGCAAAGCCGGACACCGCGCAGCCCAGATCCTGCCCGGGGTTTTCCACCCATGCAAACGTGGGTCACAAGCACAAATCCAGGGAAGGAACACAGGGGACATCACCAGCTCTGAGCCCCCGCATCGCACAGTGGCTGCTGGCAGCCCGCCCCCCCCAGCCATACACACAGGCAGAGGCTAGGGGGGGGGCTGCTCGACCCTCCTAACCCAAAGCGGGGCTGAGCACCGGAGTATCTGCACATCCTGCACCCTGGAAGTTTCCAATGTAAGAGGCAAAACCTGCACCCACACGAGGCCTCAAAGCTGCTCCCCAAACCCAGTGCCCACCCCATGCCAGCACCCAGCACCACGGGAGATCAATCTGTCCCCCCCCATCCACCTTGTCTTTTCCTCTCTACAGCCCAACATCTGTAATCACACATTCTCAATCAAAACACTACCAACATCTGGCTGTCCCCAGGTAAAACCTTACCTGCCAGCACAGACAACAGCCGGGAGGCAGCAGGCAGAGAAAAACCCCCTTTGCACAGCCAAGTTCACGTCCGCTTGCCTCCCCAACCACAGCGCAAGCAACGCTCAAGATTCCTCCCTGTGTGGAAACGCTCTGCGTAGGGACCTGCCCTACACACCTCCAGAGCCCTGAGCGCCTGCCCTGCGTGGCAGCTCAGCCCCGTGGGGCTCCCACTCAAGGACCACGGGCAGCGGGGCTGTCAGCATCGTCCCTGGCTGCTGCTCCACGTTCACTGTGGAGTTTTGGGTTTGCTCCCCCCGTATCTCCGTGCCCTGTGGCATAGCAGAGCTCACCCCTCTGCGGTGCCGAGCAGACGGATGCTTGCAGAGAGTCTTCAAGTCGCTCGACAAAGGAGCGGAGAATTAATATTCCTTTTAATTAAAGGCACCAAAATGTCTTTGTTCCTGAACAGAGAGAAAACAACAGAGGGAAGAGCTCAAAAGCTCCTTTTAAGCTAGAGACGAGACCATCTCTAGACTCAAAAGACACTGTCAACGTGCACGTGACCTCAAATTAAAACAACCCAAAATGAAACCCAGCAGCGGTGGCTCCTCTCCGAGAGCGAGGGGAAGTTGCGAAGTTTTCCTTGGCTAATAGGGGAAAAAAGGGGAAAAAAAAAATCCAACAAAAGGTGCGTTCAACCAGAGGAGCGCTCTGCAGGATCCGAAGGCACCATCCAGTGGCAAGGGGAGTGATGGGGATCGCTGGCTGTGCCCCGGCCCAGCATCACGGAGGAGCCCGGTGCCAGCCTTGCTCCATCCCTACACAGACAGCATTCCCTCGGCAAAGCCAGGCTGGAGCGAGCGGCGCAGTGCCAGCCAGCGCTGCTTAATGCAATTCTGATGGGAAAAGCAAGAGCCGGACGGTGATTAATGGCTGCGAGGATCGGAAGCAGAGAGCTGGATCCCTTCCTTCCCAAATCCGCGTCCAACAAGCTGTCCCCTGTCACACAAGAGGACACCGCGAGTGTCCCCAGCACAGACCCGTGTCCTCGCACGTAAGCACAGAATTACTCTGCCGTAGCTGTAACTTCACAAACCAGCCCCGGGTTTCCTCCCACAGACTCTCCCGAGTGGATCAGCTCCTCCTCGCCACGAAACGTGGCTCCATCTCTCCATCGCCGGCGGCCGGAGCGGGATTATGGAGCCGGGGGGTTGGTGCTCCCAGGAGGAGGGATACAGGGATGCAAACCACATCTCCCGCCGGGCAGAACCCGGGACCCACGGCCGGGGGAGGGTTTACTGCAGGGGGACACACGCACACACAGACACGCTTGGGTCCGGCGGTGCTGGCAAAGCCACTGCGGGGTACGGGAAGGGGAGCGGTGACCGCTGCACACACAGCGGGCCGGTGCCCGCTCCCCGCTGCTTGCCCTGCCCCGCGTCCCGGGAGCGGCCGAGCGTGGGGATGGAGAGATCGCGCTGGCTCCTGCACCGGGAGCATCTCCGTGCCCGGCGCACCGGGAGCACCCCTGACACTGTGAGAACCCCCCGGGCACCGTGATCTTCCCCGACTCCTGCGCACCCGCAGCCTCCCCCGGGGCACCGGGAGCATCCCCGACACTGCACCAGGAATCCTCCGGGCAGCGGGAACATTCCCAGCCCCTCTTCCCTGCGAGCATCCCCCCCCGGCACCGGGAGCCTCCGACTCCCCTGCGCACCGCGAGCATTCTCCGGGCACCGGGATCATTCCCAGCCCTTCTTCCCTAGGTGCGTTCCCGGGCCCCGGGCGCACTCCGGTCCCCGCTGCCGGCCGCGGACGGCACTTACCGTCCTGAGGTGTGGCGGAGGCGTGAGGTAAGTCCCAAGGCAGGGGCCGGCAGGACCGGACAGAGCCGGCAGCGGCCCCCGCCGGCGGCGGCCCCGGCCCGGTTAAGGCCGGCGCGGGCGGAGCGCGGCCCCGCGGCGGCGGCTGCCCCCGGCACCTGCCCCCAGCCGCCGCTCGCCGCGCCCGGGGCCGCCGGGGGCCGCCAGCCCGGGGGTCGGGGCGCTTCCACCCTCCCCCGGAGGGGGGGCACCGGAGGAGCGTGCGGAGGAGCCGGTAAATCCGCGGGGCCGGTTCACCCCCTGCGCGCTGCCCGGCGGCGCATCCTCCGGCGCCGCGTCGCGGCCATGGGGCGCCCGCGGCCGCGCTCCGTGCCGGGCCGGGCCCCCGCAGCGCCCGCCGCTGCCGCCGCGCCGCCCGCCCGCCCCGGAGTGAGCGCCGCCCGCCCGCGCCGCTGCCTTAGACGGCGCCGACACCGAGCCCGGCAGGGGGCGCCCCGCCGCCGCCGCCACCGGAGCGGGGCCCCCCCCCTCGGGGGAGGGGGACAGGGATGCGTGGGGCTGAACGGAGAAATGGGGGGTGCATGGAACCGGGGGGCTAAACGGAGACATGGGGAGCTGTAGAGCACCGGAGGGCTAAACGGAGACATGGGGCTGCATGGCACTGGGAGGCTAAATGGAGACATGGGGGCTGCATGGCACCGGGGGGGCTAAACGGAGACACGGGGAGCTGCAGAGCACCGGAGGGCTGCACGGGGTTATGGGGTCCCAAACAGAGACATGGAGGGATGCACTGGGTTATGGGGGCCTGCACGAGGATATGGGGGAGCTGCACAGCACAGCACAGAACCGAGGGGCTACACAGGGAAATGGGAGGCTGCAGGGAGACATGGGGGTTGTGTGGGTCTCCATAGGAACAATGAGGGGCTGCACAGCACCAAGGTCTCCATAGGGATATAGGGGGCTGCCCGGCACAAGAGGGGCTGCACGGGGCTTAGGGATCTGCATAAGGACTGGGAAGAGCAGCCTGAGGACCAGAGGACCATGCTGGGGGTGTACGGGGCATGGGGGGCTACAGGAAGCTGGGAACTGAGAGGGTTCAGGGTTCACAGGGGGTTGTGGGTGCTGTAGAGTGGGGGTCAGAGGGCTGCAAGGGACCGGCAGTTGTTTGCATGGGATGAGGGGTTCTCCGAGGGAATGGGGCCAGGGCTTGTCTGGGGCCGTGGGAACAGTCAGGGGGATGGAGCTGGGACTGTCCCAGGCTGGAGTGAGGTGGGGGGGGGGCTGCAGGCTGTGGCTGCTCTGCTTCTGTCACTGGGATGCAAGCAATAGCAACAACCACATGCACAGCCACAAACCCCACAGCCCTCAACAGCCCCCATGCCTGTCCCTGCCTGGCATCGGGGTGCCCTCCACCCTGCTTGGCCTCACTGGGGCTGCCTGGGGTGGCTGCATGGCATTGGTACCACAGGAATGCCAGTGGAGCCCTTCCTCTACAGCAACACAGGGCAATGGTGCAGGCATCCAGAGCACTGCTGCTTTCACCCGGTCTCAGCGTGCCCTTCCTGCGTGCCCCATGCCAGATGGGGGGAACATGACAAATCCCCCCCCCCCAAGTCCTACTACGATGTTGTCGCTTTCTTGTGCGCCGGGTAACACAAGCCCTGCTAATTTCCCTGTGCTGAAGCCCTGCCTCTTTGCGTAATTACTCTGCTTGGCAGCTGCCTTCCCTCTGCGAGTTGCTGCGCGGAGCCTTTGCCACCCGCATGGTTGGTTCTTGTATTGCTCATCCCTTCCTGCTTCCCAGGGCTGGGCGCTGGGGACCGCGGTGGCTCTGCCAGGCTGCAGCATGGCTGCTTGGTCACGCATTGGCACTGTGTGATCGCTGCATGGCCTCTCCACAGCCAATGCCCCCCTACTGCTGGGGTTGCAGTGGGAGAGTGATGCACCACCCTGACCCAGTGCTCCCAACCCCACTCTGGACCATCTCAACCTCCAGCTCTCTTTTTGCATCCCTCATTCCCAGAGGGAAGCCCATGCTGCTGCAGTGCCTGTGCTGGGGGAGCATGAAGGGTTTGACAGCTCTTCTATCTACACCAGTCAGCACTGTGTGTGTGCACTGGGCAGCATCACATACCCTGCACTTCCCACTGGGGTTCTCCCTGTTCCTGCTTTTCCCTTCTTCCCTATGCCCTCATTCCTTTTGGGACCTCTCTCAAGGAGCCTCTTGCAGGTGAGTTTCATTTGCAGAGGAAATCCACAAAAATTTGTGCAGGAAATTCCACAGTGGAGGAAAATCCACCCCATACACAGCTACACCAGTGCCCCCATACAAATACCCCACAGGGCTCTGCTGGGATAAACTGCAACATCCCCAGCTCCTGGTCAACTTAGGATGCAGTTGAAGGATGCTATCAAATACCTGCTGGCTTGGCACCGTCTTGCCCCATGAGCCCATGAGCAAAGGCAGATGTAGCCAGGCACGGCTGCCCATGCACCCTGCGTTTGGGTGGCAGGGTCTGCTTCATTCCTATTCCACACACGCAGCCTGTAATTTTGGTCTATTGAAGTCATAATTCACTACTGTGAAAATAAACATTTGTGTTAGCTCGCTTTATTCAGCGGGCCTCGTCTGAATGTTAATAATTCCCTGTCGGAGTGCTTGCACGTGGCCATGGCCACTGGGACAAAGCCCCATCACCCGTGGCCATGCCCACGGCCACCTCCTTGCATGCTTTGGGTAGGATCTCACCACCCTTTGGATGCTGAGACGGGGGATTCCAGCAGAGAGATAGGGATAGAAGTACCACCGAGTGCCAAGCTGGGGATAACGAGGGAGTAAGATAACTGTACTATAAAAATGATGTTTAGTGAAGCAGATCTGGACCCTTCCCTGCCCATGCCTGTCCCTGGTTCTGTTTGCTTGCATTGCTTTGTGCGTGCTCCAAACCTGTGCCAGAGCTGAGCCGGGGTCACCCTCCAGCTGGCCCCATGGCAGTCCCCATGGCTGTCCCCGGGCTGTCCCCATGGCTGTCCCCAGGGCTCACTCAGCCACCAGCCAGGGGGCCCAGGGCTCTCCGGGTTTCTCCCCGCTGGGTGCTGGTGCTTCCCCTCCGCATTTGCATCTTCCCAGCCTTTATCTTCCTCCCAGTCTCTGTATTGCTGCAATTACAGACACTTTAAAACACAATGATCTGGCTGTTAGCGTGATGGATGACAGAACCTTTCTGTCTGGTTTAAATCATTGCCGAGAGTGAGAGAACTTCCCCGGGTTAACCCCTTCCTGTCCCCACAACCCAGGTCCCTGCCCAGCCCAGGCTGGTTGGGTGCTGCCATGTGCTCCCACAGCACGGTGGGTCCCTTCGATAGGGATAGAGAGGGGCCTGGCATCCCTGGGGTCAGTGTTGGTGCGGAAACATCCCCCATTCTTCATGTCCCCGGGTGCATGGGGCAGACGTGGTGCAGTGGGGCAGGCAATGGGGCCAGCCCCACTTCTGCACTGGGGTGGGAAGGCAACGGCCACGTTGGGAGATAAGTGCCTGCCAGGGCCCGATAGCCTGCGGCTGGATCTATCCCAGCCCAGGGCCTGGCAAATCTGGAGCGGGGCAGGATGGGGCCCCACCGGGTTCCCACCTGGCAGAGAGGGTGGAAACTCCTGTAATGAGCCGGTGCCGGTCGCGCCCGTGTGTGATTGATGGGGATTAACTGTACACGTTATGGCAATTCACACTCCCTTTGTTTTGAGGAGCCAGCATCTCCCAGCGCCTGCATCCTGCCCTGCGCTCCCTGCTCCCACCACCATTCCCATGGGTGTCTCAGCCCCATGGGATGGTGTTGGTACCACTGCCCATCACTTCTGCTCGCTGGTACTGGTTGACCAGTGGGGAGAAGGGGATGTCCTCTATCCCCACTGGGTGTGTGTGTGGAGAGGCTGCAGTGGGGCAGGATGGGGAGATGCTGAAGACCTGCTCAAAGCAAAGGGACGCCCCACAGCATGGCCTTTGTGCAAGTGGGAACCACTGCGGGCTGGCATAGCAGATAAGGTGCTCACTGAGGGCAGATGAAGGCAACTGGCACCAACCCTTGCAGGAAATGGTCACCACCATGCACCATCTGGGCCCCGTATCTGCCTGTGCACACGACCCCTTACCTGCTATCAGACCCATGCACACAGGCTGGGGGCAACACGCTGGTGCCATTGCTCACACTGCTCCCAGGGCAGCCCCAACCGCATGCTCCACTTGTGCCTTTGCAGTCACCACGGTGTTGAGGTCCCTTTTCACACCTCTTGGGTGCCCAGACATCAGTCCTGACCCATCACTTCTCTCCCTGTAGCTCTCACTCAGCC